ACAAATGCTCGTTTGGATATCCTCATGATGCTTGGAATACATCTTGATCGGGGAGCAACCTCGTGGTTGACAGATTTCATGCAAAATTTCCAAAATATAGAATTTCACTTTCAAGAATGAGGATTTGAAAATAAATTAGATGGTTACATTGCATACTCTTTGTTTCTTGCTTTATTCAAAATGTTTTGGTTTTGGAGGCTGATTTCAACATTGGAAAGCATAGCCTACATGAAGTCATATTATAGTAACTCGATGCCTATCAAATTAGTAGTAAAAATTCACCATAATTCATGAAATATCTGTGGCCCTTGGCGGCCCACTGGCCCTCAGCCAAGTGAGACTCGATTCACTCCACTAGCCCCCCCCACCCCCCGTCGGGGCCTTTAGCCCATCTGTCGGGCAGGTCCTGGCGCCACCACTGGTTATTTAATGTGCACATGGGCCATAAATGCAAACAGGACCAACAGCTTAAATGTCTCATCCGAAAGACGCTGCACTATTGTAACTTGTATTTCAGCCCTAGCTGAAACACAAGGACAGGCAGCGATGGGAATTGAACCGGGGACCTAGAGATCTTCACGGTTCAGGGCACACACAGTGGCTACCACCAGATTAGCCGACTGAGCTAAGCTGCTCTCTATGTTATACACAGTGGTGCCAGCTAGGAGGGGGGGGGGGGTTAAAACAAAAAATAATTTGCCTATCAAAATAATGTTATTTGATTGCCAATCCTACCAGAGCATTTTGGATTCTGGGACCCGGAATAAGGCTCTAGTCGGCCGCTTTGTTTCGACCCCCATGTCAGACCTTCTGTCGGCAAATTTGTAGAGCCGCCGCTGGCTATACCATGTCAAATTTCATTTTTTTAATTTCAATGCTTGTTAAAATAATGTTATTGTTCCTCATTTGCAAATTTTTTCATTTTCTGCGTAGACCTTTAAATTTGCTTATGATTAATAAAACCTATTAATCACCGAAAATGTATTTACTGTATTAAGATTTATGTTTACCATTTAGAGTTGATAAAGGTTTTCTAAATTTTGCAATAAGCAGCATATCATACTGTATTGATTTTGTATTTTTAAACTTGCAGGACCTACAACACCTGCAGGACCTACAACACCTACAGCACCAAGCACTCTCGTCAATACTCCAAAAACGTTAACATCGACCAAAGCTAAAAACCCTTTAAAAAATACAAAAACATATGTATATAGTGGTGTGGGTTGTATAGGGGGTTTGTTACTAGTTGTCCTAGTCTTCAGACTGAGATCCAGCTACAAAAGAGATACTTCTCACACAAACCTAGACGAGTCAACAATTACTGGTAAGGAAAATATAATAGCAGTGTAAGTGATCTGCTCTAGTGCAAGTGTAGCTATTTTATGCAATCCAAGGGTGGATCCAGAATTTTAAAAACAGGGGTGGGGGGGAACCAACATTTTCAGAATAGATGTGAGTAGCGCTAATTTCAATATATGCATTGAAATTTTTAAACTGAGTGGCAAAACCGAGTGGTGGGGTGGGGGATGCAGGAGTGATGGGTGCATGTTTGCCCCTACTGGATCCGCTTAATACCTTGTTATCTTGGGGTGCCCTCTTTGTCTTGGACAGAGTGCTGCTAAATGTCTACTGGAGAGTGTGTGTACATCTCCCTTGTGCTGTGCCAACCCCTCAACAAGCAACATCTGTAACCCATGTTCTAGATTTTTCTCCGCATTCCCGAAATTTTTCCCCTATTTTTTAAACAGCCTTAAAATCAAATTTTCTTTAAATATGGCATAAATATTTCAGATTTGAATTCCTTTCACTACATGCTCATTTGTAGCAAAGAAAAGTCAAACCAGTCACTCGTCGCAAATCCTGTTGAATAATGGCAAAAACATGCGGAATATCAGAATTTTGGAAATCTATTTTATTGCACTAAACTAACCCTTATATATCTATACATCATGCTATGATGTTATTTTCTCCATTTCCAATGTTAAACCAACAATTTTCTGCCTAAGAAATCGTAAATTTAAAGGCTGATTTCTCAAATATTGGTTTTTAAACAGCTGTATGTTTAAACTCCTGTAACTTCATAACAAAATGTCGAATTTAAATGATTCTTTATCATTTTATAGCTCTCAAATAATTTTTTAACCCTGTATTAAAAACTAAAAATCGATTTTTGCAATGTGTGGCTGGTTTGGCTTGTCTTTGCCACATTTGTGATTATGTGAGTCCAGAGTATTTTTGCTAATTGTGTAGACCATATATTCTTTGAAGGTTTGCATGGCGAAGTAATAATATATCTAAATGCTTGCGGTACACCAACAACGACAGTTCTTTTCAGAACTATCCAAGTGGTGTACCTCAAGCATTAATATATATCATGTAGACCATCATTTGAAATTTTTGATTTTGTTCCTACGCTGTCCAGTCTTTTCTACTCTCACTAAATGTTAAACTGAGTAAATTACCAAATGATTGTGGCAGTATTGTATACTTTAGTACAGAAAACCTGTAATATTTTTAATCATAACTTTGGCAATAGTAAATCGATTCCAGTAAATGGCCTATCATTTTAAAGTTTACAATATGGAGGATATGTAAATTTATGTAAATTTACCTGTTTTTATCACTGATCCTGTTTTTCGTATGGAAGCCCCATATATAGTCATGATGTGCCTATATTTGTGGTTATCAAAAACGATATAAATCGTTTAATCATTCCTTTAAATGTTTCCTCTTTTTTGATTTATAATTGAAAATATGTACAGTATTCTTTTTTTTCTCTCTTTTTACAGGGTCAGACAGATCTTTGATTGTGGACAACAACAATATGATGTGTGTGACCCCTGACCTTCCACTCAGTCATAGTTTGCCTGATGCTATTACCATTTGTTCTCAATCACCAACAAGTGTAGATATAGGCATTCCTCCTTCTGGTTCTGTTTAGTGAGCAAAGTGCAAATCTGACTTTGATTTTTTGCGGCCCTTGAAAAGGGCGATTAAAAATAATTTTTGTCTTGAAAACACCTTGTTTCTGCAAAAAGTAATATTGAAACTGAGCATAAAGCGGTTTAAAAACAGTCCATGAATGTATTAGGAAACACACTGGAACATCAAAGTTTGGGTGCGGCCCTTGGGGTTATATAAAAAATTTACTTTGGCCTTCTGAACCAGTTTTATGCCACACCTCTGGTTTAGATTAATCATCCAGCTTTTATCCAGCGGTGGGTTGCGTGTGTACATTCAGGGAAGGGGAAAGACATTGTCTAGCAATTGCTGATGTTTGTCAGTGGGTTGCAAAAAAAAAAAGAAAATAAATCAAACATTTGCGGCCATCCTTAGGTGCCATACCTCTAGAAATTCAAAACCTCAGCTCCAGCCATGGCGTAGGAATTTTTGAAAAAAAAGTATGTTCTTCTTTTTCTTTAAACACTAATAATTTTTGGACATCATCAACCCCATTATTAGTAATTGCTCCACTAGGGGTAAACACAGTTAATATGCTGAGAGACATTTCAGTAGTGAAAGGCTTCTTTATAGTAAGAGAAATAGAACGGTAGATAAATATAAATTCTTCTTAACATTAATGTAAAGAGAAAATGTGAAGCCTAGTTACAACCTTTATTGTTGAGATAGGTTTTTGGGTGGGCATGTATTCGAGAAAGATGTTTGTTCGAGGGAGGCATTTATTTATTTTTTTTAAATGGATAGGTGTACGTATATTCTGAAATAAAACCCCCTAAATTTCACTGTAAATATGGAAGTGCAACGCATAATTAACGCCAAAGTGTGTTATTGCGCGATCATAAAGACTTATCCAAACAGATTGAAAAAAAATGGAATTCAACTTGAGTAGAAAATTAATAGAATGTTTTGCGAATGATGTTGCTTCCATTAGATTTGCAGGAATTTAGGGGGACGTTTATTCAAAGAAAAATAAAACACCTTGTGGCAATTGTTCGAGGGAGTTATTCCAAATGAGGCTCTAAAGGGTGTGTTTATTCGAATAAATACAGTATGTAGGCCTATAACAATTGTATGTTCACTTTTACACTAACATGTACTGGAGCTGTGGCTTTGTGGTTAAGATGTTCGCTTTCCAATCCCACGTTCCTTGGTTCAGTCTCTGCTACTGCAAGGTTTTTTTTCCTCCTGACTGAAAAAACAGCTTCACTCCCTTAGGTGGGACTTTTTTATACCTTGTATTACAAACTTATTTTTTTAAAGATTGTCAGGTGAGGGTGGAAAAAAAAAATTAATTTTTGTTTTCTCAATATTAAAGCAAACTGATTTTACCAAAACTATTTAGGCAGAGAAGAAAGTAAAATAAAATTTTATTGATAAATTAAAAAGTGTCGTAATGTGATTTCAAAATCACCAATTTTGTTGGTCGGAGGGTTTGTTAAACAAGGTATAAAAAAATTCCTGCCTGAGCCTCATAAAAAAACTTTTCGAACACCCCCTCCCCTTCTTTCCGCAAATTTCTGGAGCCACCACTGTAGCCCTGCCATCAAGGAAATGCATTTGTAAGCTCATAAATGCAAACCAGTGTATTGGAGGAAAAAATGGCCATTGTTTAGTTAGTTGCGAGGGCAATATTATCGCTTAACCCTTTCCAAGGACAGATCCGCTGGAAAAGAGTTGGGTTCCAGTGCCAGTTCTCTAAAAAAATGTGTAATTTTTTGCTGCTTCTTGCGAGTGTCCCTTCAAAAATTGAATCAGTTTGAAAAGCAATGTACTGGATTTGATTCCTTGCTTTAGTTAGGAACTGAGGATTCCAGATAAAGAAAAAAAAGAATGATAGCCGCTTCAGATCACCAATTCAAGTATTTTTCCACTTTTATCTTGGCATATGGTCCCAAATCGACCTGAAATATTCTTTATCACATTTTATTGTTTCATATCAATATCGTCATTGAAGCCTTGTTCATTTCTAGTTCCATTTAGCTTACTACATTCACAAATTTGTGAGTAATACTGAAATATTTTTAAGACATTAATTTGTCTCGTGTGTATGTTGAAGTATTGTACAGCTTCTCAAATATTGTACGTTGTGAATTTTTTTCTAATGATTTGCACAATATTTATATTCATACATGCATGTTATGGTAAAATAACATTGATAAATATTTAAAACTTCCAGCATGCACTAACGTATATATATTCAATATTACTGTAATTATTCATGAATTAAAAAGTGTTTGTCTTGGTTTTGTAAAGCTCAGGCCACACTGTATGCCCATATATAGTCACAATGTGCCTATATAAGGTCATGATGTGATGTCATCAAGACCATATTTAGGCATGTCACATGAAATTTGATAGTCTGGCCAGGCTTTAGATATTAATTGCATCTCTCCATGTTCCTCTACTTTATCATTTACAATTTATATATTTATATATTATTTATGTGTAAAGCCTTACAAGAAGATTTAAAGTTTATCGCTTCACATGTAACATTTCTTACAAAATAGTATCTCCTCAGAGATCTTGTTTTGCTAAGATGCTGAAGAAGAGGGCGTATAGCGTTTTATAAGTGTTTGTTGTCTGATTTTACTAACCATTTACATTTTTTAAATAATTTTATGTACTATTATTTGTTTAGATTGCTTGTAAAACAAGTGTTTTCGTTTTGAGAAACTGTAATTACTGTCTCTTATACACATCTAGATGTGTATAAGAGACAGACTTTCGCCTTAAGGTACTGTTTAATATATATATACTTGTATGAACTGAAGAATTTAAAAAGCATTGAGTGATGTAACTTTTATAAGGGATGGTTAAAGGATATGGTTCGCAATCAAATTATTTAAGCCAATTTACGGAGAGTAACCCATCTAACCCCAGATGATGCGCAGGGACCCTCCTAAGCTTGGCTTCCATAAAATTGCTACAGAATACGCTAATGCAACAGCTGGCTTCATTTGACGGAATTCACTGAGTAACCTAAATTAACACCTGAAACCTAGACTATAGCTAGTTGTGTGTGACGCTGATTGGTTTGTCAAAATCGGATCGTGTTGTGGTCCGCAGTTTAATGTAAATAAGAAAGTATTATTGATCACTAATACTTCCACATTGTAGCGATTGCAGTAAAGATACTGTAGCGACAGTATGAGGAGACGAGGCTTGAAGCCGATAACTTCAGAAATTGGCCAGTGATCAGATTGTCTAGGTGAGTGGTAGCGATTGAATTAAAGATACTGTAGCGACAGTATGAGGAGACAAGACTTGAAGCCGATAACTTCAGAAATTGGCCAGTGATCAGATTGTCTAGATGAGTGGTATTCAATATAGGATGTCTTATCATGATGGACTTAGAACATCAGTAGAGGGGAGAAGGTAGATCTTCCAACACCTATGATGATCAAATTATTGTACATATACCGTATATTTATATATATCTGACTCATATATATATATATACATATAAAATATAAATTTTATATGTAAATATCTACCTAGAATAACAAATAGATGGTATTATAAAAGTATTATGATTAATAATTAATATTATGTCTATTAAAACTAGGTCTTTGTTGATGATAAAATTTAACGATAAAATTCAATGTGGCTTGATATGTATATTAATGTAACATTTCATCGGAAAGTAAGACGGAAAATATCAGACAGATGCATACAGTATAGTATTCTTATACATTAGCATTTACACTACCTTAACGTGGCTAATTATTACGTGGTAATATATGTAAGGATTTTTTGTAGCAGAGTAATCTACAAATCAGCAAAAACGTTTTTTTGTTATTTTAAAGCCGGGTGCTCACTTCGCGTCATGGTCGTCGGCCGGTGAGATTCTATGGATAAAGCAACACCACGATGCACATTAATAACGATCATGTCAGACTGCCATTAGCAATCAGGAGATAGTTTTGTGCCGTCTAGCGCCCACAAGGAGCGGCGGTGGATTTGTTGTACAATGCAGTGAGTACCCGGATTTAATGAGCAATTTAATTATTTTAATTAAATTTCTGAGTGTTTTATTTTACCACAGACAATAGACCTATATTTTCTTAGAACTATATTTTTGTTTCGGTGCGGTGTCTGATTTTACTAACCATTTACATTTTTTAAATAATTTTATGTACTATTATTTGTTTAGATTGCTTGTAAAACAAGTGTTTTCGTTTTGAGAAACTGTAATTATGATACTGTATATATATCAAGTAAGAGGAGCTCTAGGAACACTCACCTGATTGATTAATAGATCTTTTTGTATGGGCGTCCGTTAGGGCAGTATACTCTACTGCCTCTAGTATACTGCCCTCACAATTATTTATTTATTAATTGACACTTCACCTTGAGAACGGTGGCCCACACAACTCGTGTGGTGCGGTCGGATAACAATAACAACTAGAATACAAAGAAGAGAAAAACTAAAACAACAACAAAATCATATAAAGAAAAACACAACAAATTTACCAGGAATTTAAATAAAGCCTACAGCTTAACTCAAAAGTTTTAACAATACAATTTGAGATTGTAAACTAAAGGAACTGAATCATAACGTAAAATTGAAATCAAAATAAAACCTAACAAAAAAAAAAAAAAAATCCGATGAGGAGCTCTAGAAACACTCGGCTGGTTGATTAATATATCTTGTTTGTATGGGCGGCCGTTAAGGCCAATATACTCTAAATGCCTCTATTACAGTATTACGAGAACTTGTTTTGCTATGTGCCGCTCTTATTATATATAGGCCTGTTCTTTTTTTGAATGGACTTTGCGATGCTTAATTGAGAGTGCATTATTACCAATAGTTTTTTTTTTGTATCATTGTGAAACTTAATAATAGCAATTTAATTATTTTAATTGAATTGGGACAGTTATTAGACCTATATTTTCATAGAACTAAAGTTTTTGTTTGGGTGCTGTGTATCATGTTACTAAACTTTTACATTTAAGAAATGTAATTTTATGTTTTATTATTTGTTTATATTTGCTTGTAAGACAAAGTTTGTGTTTTCTTTTTCAAAAACCGTAATGATCGAATAAGCGCAACACCAAACATATTTTATTTTTCTATGCATTGCTCTTATTATAGATAAGTTAGTTTTATTTTTGATAAAAACTTTGCGACGCTTAAATTTACTTGGTAATCTATTTTAATGGTTTTTGTAACAAAACGTCTTTAAATCATCGGGGAAAAAATGTTTTCGATGTGTTTCTGGTTGGAATTGAGCTATTTCGAAGTTTTAATTGAATTTGTAATTTTTTTTGACAGAAAGTGTGTCTTTATTATAGGTGAATCTCTAATGAATAAGCTCTCAAAATGAAACCTCCAAAACTCTGCTGCTTTTGTAATTTATGGTAGATGTTATATAGTTGGTGTGCGTACTGTAGTGAAGTGTGGGTATCTCGATATTCGACATTGACCATTTGATGGTCGTGAATCTGCCAAATATTTTACTTTTCAATTATCGGATTAGAACATCCATTGTCAGAACAGTAAATTTCTTATTAAATAAATATTTGTATAAATTACAGTGCATAACATTTTTTGTGTTTATATCAAAATGAAAAGTGTGTGCATGAGGACCTCGACGGCGGCAGCGACGATGACGAACTTTGTTTTGTAAACTTTGGAATACACAGACCCGTATCAATGATATAGGCCTTAGGCCTATATTCATGGAGCTTTAATATTAGGGGGTTATATATGAGAGCGAGCCGTGGGTCCAAGGAGAGCCTATATCTCTTGTAAGTGTCTCGGGCCTTGTTTTCTGACTGGGAAAGTAGCAACCTTAATAACCAAAATAATGTATCCTATACAGCTTGTTATCTGTAGTAGATTTATGTCTTTCCCATTTTCCCCCATTGATTCATTGATTGGTAATACTTTGTAGCTGATGACCTTATTGAGCCGGTGTACCAAGTCTTGAGAATGTGGTCGTGGAAGTCTCTCGGAAAGGCGGTCGCCGCGCTTCGCGCATTTTTATGAACAAGCAAATGGAATGCTACGATATATTTCTTCTAGTTCTGTGCATGCGTACGTCCGGACGGTAAATCGTCACAAAAATTGTGGTCCTTACTCAAATTAGTATATGATATTTTTTTTTCGCATAGGAACATCCTATTGATGTAATGTATTATGTGAATTGACCATATATGAAAACATGTTGAAATTTTAAATTATATGATAGTTCCGCATTATATCCATGCACCAAAGAAAGAAAAAATTAGAAAAGAGCTTTATACCCACCAAGCATTGAAAAGATGGCAATCAACCAATTACACGATACAACGTCAATCTGAGATTACAAACCCTCGCCCTGTTGCACCATATCATGTACATAGTGGATTCGCTAGATCCGCTGGTTGTTGTATTATGATAGTGTAATTACTAACTATACAAACACATCAGGTAAAGTGTAGCCGAGTGGTAAAGGTGCTCGTATTGCAACGTGTGTAATATGTAAAGTTGATCGACTGTATAAGTTTCGAATCTCGCTTTTTTTTGTTTGGTGTTTTTTTTAATTATTATTTTATATTATCATTTTTAACTTTTTATTATTTGTGCATTTTTAGATTTATTTTTTTCATTTTATTATTATTCACAATTATTATATTTTAAAAATAAAATTGAGACTTCAGATTGTGACATATATGGCAAAAAAAATATTATATTCTAAAATCAAATATAACCA